GAACTTTTTTTGCTTTCCTGACTCATCTTTCTGGGCGGCTGACCTCATAATTTTGAAAAATGGCAGACATTTATCTGCTGACTTCGATATGAACCGATGCAGAGCTGCCACCCTTCCAGTCAGCCTCTGTATATCCTTCACTGATTTCGGCGGTTCCATCTCGGCAATTGCTCTGATCTTCTCTGGATTGACCTCAATTCCCCTTCGGGACACCATGAAACCTAGAAATTTCCCGGACTCCACTCCGAAGATGCATTTGGCTGGGTTCAATCGCATCCTGTTCTTTCTAAGGTTGTTAAAGGTTTCGTCGAGGTCGGAGAGATGGTCTTCTACTTTTAGGCTCTTTACCACAATGTCGTCAACATATACCTCTAGATTCTTGCCAATCTGAGCGTGGAAGACAATGGTTACCATTTTCTGATAAGTAGCACCTGCGTTTTCCAAGCCAAACGGCATCATGACATAACAATAAATTTCATCGCCAGCATAGAACGCGGTTTTCTCTTCGTCTTCTGGAGCCATTGGCACCTGGTGATACCCCGAATATGCGTCCAAGAGGCTTAACCTCTCATTGCCTGAAGCTGCTTCAACTAGTTTGTCAAAGCTCGGCATTGGATAGCAATCCTTAGGGCAGGCGTTGTTAAGATTTGTGTAATCAATGCATATTCGCCATTTGCCATTTGCCTTCTTCACCAGAACTGGGTTAGCCACCCATTCGCAGTAATCAACTTTCCTGACAGAACCAGCCTGTAAGAGCTTCTCTACCTCGTCTTTAATAGCCTGAAGCCTCTCACCCCTAAAGAGACACCGCTTCTAGGCCACTGGTTTCTTCAATGGATTGGTGCTGAGCTTATGTTGAAAGACTGAATTTGGAATTCCTGGCATCTCTGCCGAAGTCCATGCGAATACATCATTATTAGCTTGAAGAAAAGCTATCAGCTCTGCCCTTTCCTCTGGGTTCAGTCTAGTTCCGATTTGCGTCTTTCGGCTCAAATCTCTGTCATCAATGAGCACTTCTTCAACATCTTCGATCGGAGCAGCTCTGGTTTCATCTTCCGGTCGATTATCTACGATCTCAACACCCATAACTTGCTGATTATCAGGAATTTGCTGAGGAATGGCCTCGGGTGTCTGAGCTTTGCCTTTCATGGGTTGTGTTACCGAGGTGATATAACAATGCCTGGCCACCTCCTGGTTTCCTCGCAGTGTTGCTATTCCCATAGGAGTTGGGAACTTCATACAGAGGTGAGACTGGGAAACTACAGTTCGGATTTCAGTCAGTGTGGGTCGGCCAATAACAATGTTGAAAGAGGACACCATCTTTACTACGAGGAACCGGACCGACGGGGTCACATAGGTCCTGCCACTCCCAAAAGCCACATGTAGAGTAAGAACTCCTTCTACCGGAACAAGTTGGTTGTTGAAACCATAGATAGGACCATCATATTTCTGCAACAATGCTGGATCTAATCCCAGACTCTCGAAACAGTGGAAGTACATGATGTTTGGTGCACTCTCGGTGTCAACAAGGACACGCTGTACTTCACAGTTGTTAATCATGACAGAAGTGACCAAGGGATCGTTGTGGGGTGTGACAACTGTATCGAGATCAGCAGACGTGAAAGTAATGGGCTGATTTTTCCACTCAGCATCGTCAATCTTCCGCTTCTGAGCTCGGTTTTGATGTTTAACCTCCCTAACATACAACTTTCGCTGCTTAGAGCTCAGTCCACCTGCTTCAAGGCCTCCCGTAATCATATGTATGATTCTAGCTGGTGGTGGGAGTGGAGGTGGGGCTTGCTGATATCCTACACCTTGCCTATTTGGAGGATTGCAGACTCCTTGAGGCTGCGGCCTCTGTTCTCTGATAAACCTCGGCTGTTCAGTTCTCTGAACATACTCGTTCAGCATTCCCTTCTGAGCTAAATTTTCCAGTTCAGACTTTAAACTGTTACACTGCTCTGTAGTATGGCTGTGATCTTGATGAAAATCACAATATCTGGTGTGGTCTCGACTGGCAGCAGCAGTTTTCATCGGGCCAGGAAGCCTTAAATCCATTTTATTCTTGATCTGCATAAAAATTTGTGACCTCGGCAAATTAAAGGGAGTCCAATTAACTGGAGGTTTACCTACAGATTGTTGCGAAGGTGTTGAGTTCGTCCTTTCGAATCTCGTTGGGGAGGTCAACATCGGACCTTGGTTCTGCGCCATTCTCATCCTTTTCCGGCTCGGATTGTCATCTCTCCATTCTGGGTTCTGGTTCTTAGAGGAAGGTGGGTTTTGCGCCAAGGCGTATTCCTCAGCCGTTATGAATTTCAGAGATTTGTCGTTTACCTCGCTAAAGGTGGTGGCAGCATGTTTGATCAAACTGTCCCGGAACCTGTCATGTTTGAGACCAGAGATCACAGCTGCGATGCCCACAGCTTGGTCGAAGGAATTAACCTCCAACACCGCATCATTGAACCTGCTCATGTAGTTCTTTAGAGACTCTCCGTCCCTCTGTTTAACTTGCATCAATTCAGTAGTAGTTTTCCTAATCAACCTTCTACTGGAAAACTTAGTGGCAAAGGTAGATGCCATTTCTGTGTAAGAACTAATTGACCTCGGAGGTAGACTATAATACCAAGTTCGAGCATTACCTCGCAGAGTAGAGGGGAAGATTTTGCACATTAACGCGTCAGAAGCGTTCTGAGCTTGCATACAAGAGTAGAAAGCATGCAGGTGATCATCGGGGTCCTTCGTCCTGTCATATGTCTCCAATTGTGGTATTTTGAAACCAGCAGGATAGGGTTCTAGAGTAATGTTGGTATTCAAAGGGTGAGGTATAGAATCAGCAGCATGGTGTGGGGGTGGAGCACCTCGGTGTTCGGCTACTAGCTTTTCCAGGCTATCGAGACGGCGAGTAACATCATCAGGGATGGGTTGTTGAGCAGGTGCTATGTGGGATTGACCTTGAGATTCACTAACAGCGGGAGCAGATTGAACCGGTTGAGGATTCTGTTGTGGAGCTGGGGGTTGTTAAGCAGGGTTTAGTAAATTAATGAGAGGATCACCAGGATTATTTATAACTAAAAGCTGAGCCAGTACCAACTGAAAAACACCAAACTGTTGCTGCATGGCAGCAAGCTGAGCTGTCACCACGTCTTGGTTGGCAGTGGAAGTTGAATTGTGAGCTGAGATATGGGGTTGGTTTTCATCTCCTCCTTCTGCCTGATCAACAGGAGGGAATATGATTGGGACTTGAGGTGGAAGTCGAGGTTGGATTTGAGGTGGGATCAGAGGTGGAAGGGTGTTGGGTGGTTGACCTTGCCCATGAGGCAAAGATGAATTACCAGCTCGGACTGATCGAGTGTGAACCATGATGAAAGAGCAACTAGAAAGCTTTCAGTTCGTTTCCCACAGACGGCGCCAATGTAATTGCACCAAACCTGAAGTCCTTCTTCAATCCGTGCTTGTACTCCGAGATGACCTGCAAAGCCCCGAGGTGGAACTCGGGGTAAACACTCCGATGCTTAAGT